CAATTTATGTAGGCTGATGCTGCACAAAGTGTGTTACGTAAATAAACCAAATTCTATTGATAACCTCTTTTTATGTAGAATTTTTGAACACGTGTTTGCGCTGGAAACTTACTTTTTCCGCATTTATTAACAGAAGTACTCAAATCTAAAAGTACCGCTACTTCTATGAAAGAGCAACTGCTGTAAAACTTCTCTCTCATAATCGTCTATGCCAGTGCTTTCCAGAATGAGTGTGGTTAGGGAGTATTCACAATTTTTAGTATTACCGCACTATTCTGGAATAAAACTATGTGATATTGGAAACTTATTTTTTCCACATACTGTATGTACATACATAAGTATGTAAACACAACATTTATGTATGTACGTCCAAGGTACATATGTACATATTTATGTAAATACTATATATTTTTGTCAACGAATTTAAAGAACTTCAACACTTAGGCATTAGTGGTAATACATACATACATATATTTAGTAGTGAAATTTTGATGCATAAACATAATTTTGAATGTACATATGTAAGTACGAGTACTTACTTAATTTACAACTTACAACTTAATTTACAACTTACAATACACTAAATTGTTCGATTAGCAATGCCCACTGTCGTACTAAAATAAGTAGACGACGAAAATCATCGAAAACTATCAAGTGCTACCCAGTTTTTCCGTTATAATACACTTGTCGAGTCGAAAAAATAGGCAATGTAATTTTCGATATAATGCGACTCTCGAAAAACGACTTGCATTCGACACGACACTCGTAATGAGGGTGCTTTTTATTTGACTTCCGTAACTTCACGTTTGCTTTCAAATGAAAAACAGATTGTAAGATCTTTTAATGCAGCTTCCAAAGAAAAGGTATTATAAAAAAAACACCTGCCTGAAAGTTTTTAATAGAAGCGTCCCTCCTTTTTCCGACTGAGATACATCGGAACCTTGGTTTGGTCGACTGGAGAGACATAAAATATAAAATATCGCGATTCCTCCTCAAACATGGCACCAATCTCGCGTTCAAAAGCATTGAGCATTGATTGAAAAAAAATGCATGAGACCGTTCGCAACAGAATTTCAAAAAATCAACGCCAGTTTTTGCAAATTGCACTTGTTTTATATGTATCAAAAAAAAAACACAAAAGCAGTCCAAAGAAAGACTTCTCTAAAATCAACGGGATTTTTTAGCCGTTTCAAACTTAGA